TGTGAGTGTGTTTTTATCCACACGTCGCCATCTCTCCGTCTCATCTTGTTTTTCCCCAGTGTACGTCTACAGGTTTTATCAGCAAGTATCTTTGACTTGGCAGTTGGTAATCGGATTTCTCTTATCCAGAAATATAATTAGCCCACAAGGTCTTCCTGAGTGTTTGCCAAGCGGATTTTCTCCTGTACCTGGATGTATTTTAGTTTGAACTATGCACTTTCTGGTCAACGTTAAACAAACCGGGGCTTACACACCTTGACAAAGATTTTGTGAACAAGATTTTGACATGTGATTCCCATCACGAACCAAAAGGGGAGATGTCGTCTCTTCGACTTTCTGCAACAGAGGAGAATATTAGTATTGTCCTTCATCCACGCAATACGGAAATCGACGAACGCAGTCTCTCTACCCCTGTATCGAGGTGCTCACGTCATCATCAACGTCATAGTCTTCACGAACCACTCGGACCAGCCCAAGTTGGTGACCAAGCCTTAGTAGTGTTTGTACTCAGCAAGAACGATCATTGACCTACAATTCGTGATCATCCCCCTCAGGCTTGATTGAAGCATCTTTGATTGAAGTCATCCTTGCCACCTTGTGGATTTACTTCGCACGCTCTCCTCAACATTATTTGCACTTTCGGAGACGCCTGATTTCGGGAATTTCCTTTACTTGACATTTTACTCTTTGGATGTTAGTGGTAAGTATCTCTCGAATTAGAGTACAGTCATTTTACTTTACCGACAGACCACGCTCATTTTTGCGTCGAAAAAAGTTCCGTCAAAATCTGTCCGTTTTGTTTGCTTTGTTTTGTTTTGGGTTTAGGGTTTGTTTTGGTTGGGGTATATTTGGGGGTGGGGGGGGGTGTCTATGAGACTGTCGGCCCATAGGACACTCTTTTAAAAGTTCCATCTGAATCTGTTTCTGCCAATTGTGAAATAGTTGTGAATCTACGGGTGCCGACGCACAACTGGAAAAATCAGGGCTCTCTCTCTCTCTCTCTCTCTCTCTGTCTCTCTGTCTCTCTGTCTCTCTCTCTCTCTCTCTCTCTCTCTCTCTCTCTCTCTTCCCTTCCCGTCCATCTCTCTCTCTCTCTCTCTCTCTCTCTCTCTCTCTCTCTCTCCTCCCTGTCTCTCAAAATAACTGACGCTGATGGACAGGGGTTATAAAGAAATAAGGTAGAACGATAACCAATAGCTGAGCCGGCCTGACCGAACAAGGCCTACTGGACAGCAAACTTTCGTGTTATTTATTTCTGCCTTAGAGTTATCAATATTCTAAAAAAATTCTGGTGGAAAAACGTCAATACATAAACAACCAACCTCAGCGCCTCTCCTCCTATACACCTTCCTTAGAATATTTTTAATCTCACGTAACTCTTATTACTGCGTCGGAATTAGAAGACTGGTTTTCGTGACAAGCATCCATCTTGATTCTGCCCACAAGTAATATAGACCACTAAAGTAGATCCGCGCTTAATCTTGTGTCCCTTTTCCCCACCTTTTTTAAAAACCATCATCCATCAAAATTCTTCCATCTTAACCATCTTGTTATAAGTATTCACATAATGACCCTAGAACATGCATCAGAATAATATTGGGTATGTATCTAGCTTAAGTTGATTATTGTTTATATTGCTATTCATTTATCTTATGCATGTAATTGTAAGTCTGGGTGTGTGTGCATGTTTGTGTCTGTGTGAGTGTGTGTGTATGTGTGTGTGTGTGTGTGTGT